ATCATGTCACCCCATATGCAGCACAACAACCCTTCTCCACTGCCGTCGTCCATCCCGTTGCCTTCCCATCAGTCCCCCCCTCGTCCGCCGCCCCCACAGACCATGAAAATGGCTTCCCCGTCTCTGCAACACCAGCAGGTAGTACAGAGTTCGCAAGGCGGATATTAGTATGTACCACTGGGCGTTATGCAATCGGGTTTTCCCGCGTATCTCCTGTGATCCCTGACATTACCATTTCGTTTATACTCTTTCCGCTCTGTTTTGGTTACAATATCACTCCGTTTTATCTGCTTTCCAGTTATGTATTATTGTCACAATTTGAGGCATTTTCGGTCTTACATCTACCTGGGCGGTGCTTGTCAACCGAGATACATGGTCGCGGGACACACGATCGCTATTGACCAGGCCAGGGTTGGCGGTGAGTGGGATATGAGCGCTCTCAAGATCTCAGGTTTACTTCCACAACCATTGCTGACTCGTGCGCCTACATCCCTCGAAGAAGCTCAAACCATTCAAGTTACAATTCGGCGCTAATAATGATGAGCAGGTAGACGTCGTGGCGTTCCTCAGCACTGACTTCAACGCTGGTAGCTTGCGACATGTATGATGTACTACCCATATGCATGCTCGAAGGTAGATACCCGGCCCCTCGGCTTGGGGTACATTGGTTTAGCTTTATGAAAAATAAAACAAACTATATTGTACAACAGATTATGAACGAATCAAATTGTAGAAAGTATAACCTAAGAGACACGTCTAGAGACGAAACAATGCAAGTGAGAGACGGCGTGCAAAGTAAACATGAGCTGTACCTCGGCGTTGTGGAAAGAACCGCTGAGGTGCGAACAGTGTGATACAATGAGATTATGAAGTACACTACAGAGTCCGTAATGACGAATGAAAGAAAGGAATACCGGGTCAATGTTGTACATCCAACACAAATGGATCAAGTTGACGACCCTTCACCAGTAGAAAGACGAGGGTGCTTTGCAGCCGGCTCCTGATCATCTTGCTCAGGAAACAGATACTTCAGCATTTCCAAGTCATGTTTTGCCACAATCTTCTTCCCATCACATGCACCTTCAGGACATCAAATATCCATCCAATTAACACACATAGGATAATGGGCCTTCTCGATTGGTCTAGCCCAATTGAAACCAAACAGCATGAATTGATTGTTGTCTCCCACAATGAAATTGGTATCCTGAAGGTTGCCATGAATGTAGACACCATTGTATTTGTGTAACTCTTTGATAAGAGATGTGATGGCCTCCTTCAGCAGCAGGCAGTCCAAAACAGCCATCACACTCAGTGGTCGATGTGAGCCAGGCCATTGCACTTGGAGACCATTATCAATATCAAGCACATCCATAATTACCATTTTCCAGCCACTGGCTAAAGATTGGTAGGTGATAAGTTCCAGAGCATGCCCCTTGCTGGCACAGAATCTGTGGGCCTCAGGGGAATAGTGTCTGACAAACTTGATACATATCTTTCTCTCAGCCACATCATTGATGGTTTGCCTGAAGAAGATAAGTCAATCCCTGAGCATCTGAGTCTCATCATATGAGAACTTCTGAATGTGACCACTTGAAGAGGTATATGTCTGAGGATAGGGATAGCCTAGAGAATCTTTGGCTTTGAGGGGAATAATTGAATCCAAGTACAGCTTTGTGAGTTTCTCGATGGCAATTTTGAGAGCCCCAAAAGTACAAGCTACCATCTCTTGCATACAGAGGTCTGTTGAATGCCAAAACAGAGGAATGATGGGGGCCAGGACATCACATTGGACTTTTTCGATGAAAACAGAGCCAGTGAAGCCAATGCATGCCCCTAGTTGTGGTCAATAAATGTTACAATCATGTTTGCCCCTATTCATTTTCCTCTTCCTCCTTTGTATTATGTCATGACCGCGCCGTATCGCGCCATCACTAGACTCACTTTCCACTATATTTGTACTACATCACGATCACCATTGCTGTCACTAGATGACTCATTACTATCTCTGACTCATACCCTTATCTCTGACTCATTGCTGACATATACGTACCTGCCCTAAAGCATCTACGATCTATATATACTCAGTCATGTACTTAGTAGATCCTCACTTTAATCTACTAGGTTCTCACCTGAAACATCCTTCGCTTAGGACCTCCAATCCTAAGTCGTCTGACCACCAATATTCAAGTCAGAGACACTCTCTTTGACTTGTCTTATGACCCTTACCTTTGTAAGGTCTAGATTCAACTTTAGCTGTTACTCTTATTGAGTAGCTGTAGTTGCGACTACCCTAGTTCATAACAATAAAGGGCTTTAGCAACGAATCTGATGAAATGAACTAACTGAAGACAATGATATGGATGCACGGCATGACAGACCGAAACTTCCCTATTTCAACGTTTGACTCTTTGAGAATCTTGCAGTAGTACAACATTGCCTCCATGAATGGTTCAGCACCACTGCCTCCAATCTCATTCTTCCACCCAACTATCACCTGCACAAAATTTCCATCAGGAGACATAAGATGTCCATCAGTCATACATTTTGTTGCACCAAATGTAGAAGGATGGAGCATGATACCATAGCTGCAGAGCAGATACCTGAACTTATTCATCCGCTTGAGCTCATTGATACAGAAACAGGACATCTCCTGTGAAAGTTGCCAAACAAAGTCATTATTGCAGTCAGTTGGTTGATAATTTTGACAATCATTGACAAATTCGGTGAAGATAGGCTCAAGAAGAGTAACTGGAAGAGGGTCTGCAGCTCTGTGAGGATGATTGCAAAGGTACTCTTCCTTGTCCTGCATCACAGCAAAGGAGGCCGGTTTTGCATCAGCTGATGGAGCACCTGGGGCCTTCTGGAGGTAAGCCAATCATTTATCAACAAGTGGAATGCATGGCACTACAGGAACTAAGAACCAGATGTGATACAGATCAGTGTTCAAGGAATGGGTGGCAAACTGACAAGTAACTTACCAGTATGCTGTGGTTGGACAACAATATGCAGACAGTTATGCAGAGGAGCATTGGGAAAAATCTTGACCATTTTAGCCACAGGTGATAGGGATTTCTTTGGGTCAAGTGTAAAATTGTGAAGATTATGTTCAATCATCTTGTGACAGGCAGGTTGGACTTCCAAAGTCTCAGCACAAGATCAGATCACAGGCATCAGACCACTCACCAGCCATAGCTTAAGATGGTCAGCATCAACATGGTCAAAATGCAGCTTCTTTGCATCCTTGATAACCTCTCAGAGGGCACTGACACTCTCTGTCAGTGCAATCTTGATCTCAAATATATGGCAAGGATCATCACCCAAGACAATGCAGTTGAGTTTGAGGTGGAGCGGTTCAGAAGACACTAAGTCAGACCACAATCAGTAAGGAGGAAAGGGTGGCAATATTGAAAGACAACTTACTGAAAGGTAGGCATTGGATAATAATATGCAGACACTTATGCGGAGGAGCATTGGGAAAAATCTTGACCATTTTATGCACAGGTGATAGGGATTTCTTTGGGTCAAGTGTACAAGATTGTGAAGATTATGCGTCAATCATCTCATGTCAACAGGCAGGTTGAACTTCCAAAGTCTCAGCACAAGATCAGATCACAGGCATCAGACCACTCACCAGCCATAGCTTAAGATGGTCAGCATCAACATGGTCAAAATGCCTACTTCTTCACGTCCTTGATAGCCTCTCGGAGGGCGCTGACACTCTCTGTTAGTGCAATCTTGATCTGAAATATACAGGCGAGGATCATCGCCCAAGACAATGCAGTTAAGTTTGTACATCTGGCGTTGAGAACAAGAGTAATAGTGTCTCGAGCGATGACCGCAGGGAGTTAACAAAGCCAAGCAGCCACACCACGTGACTGCGCTTCTTTTGTTTCTTTCGCACTTGACTCGACGGTCTCCTTGCAGTTCCATGAATGCCAGCTAATCGAATACCAGATTTCCTATACTCTATCTCCTTCTCCCTCTCCGATAACGCAGTATAGAATTGACATCATATGGGCATGCCGGGTTTTTTATTCATCTATGGGACCATAGATGCCAGACTCCAATACTATAGAGAGATCAGTGGTACCTATCATCAAATTGGCCTGGATCACCGCTTCCATATCAGGATGTGTGCTATTTTGCCCATGTGCTCACGACTTTTAATGTATGTTTAAGTTCATTTGCTATTGACCGGTGTCCAACTCTACAGACTTTTATTTAGGCAAGGCATCACCGATCATCGACCATCCTTCAAACGTCCAAGTATTTCCTGCGGGCCGCAGTCATTTCCACCAGGCTGCAGAATGAACGCCAGCTTCGACAGATCATAAACGATGAGGCACATGGCCCGCAGCGCTGCATGCAGGCACGCTTCTCGTATCTAATGTACTGAGTTGGTGACCGCGTGGAATAGCGTTGTTTGTTTTTTCCAACTGATGATGGTAGCTTCAGGGACGGCGGATCGTGGTAGAATCTCACTTGAGACCTGCGACCATGTGGTCACCAGCCTCGCACGCACCGGGGTTTGGACAGGTTAAGGCTAGGTTCATGCACAATGAGTGATGACTGACGTGGTGACTTGCGGTATTTATTTTTGTTTAACTCCACGGTGGTCGTCGTTGGTAGGGCGGTGTGCCTGGGCAGTGTGGTGATTGAATTGTCCTATTAAATCAAACGAGTCGTCGTTGCTGTATACTCAAGGCAATATTCAGGTCATTGCCACTGCACATATCAGTATAGGCTAGTTCATTAACCGATGGTCAGTATCACTAATTAGTCTTAGGCGTCGGACGAAATGGTGCAAATGAACAATCTTTAAATTGTTCTTAACTGGTAGTCATCGAACCTTAAGGCCTTACTACTTGCGCGAATTGCGAGTTTAAACACACATCACAGAATGCGATTTTGATGTAACAGATATCCAACGAATTCCTAGCGCTGCACAACGACCAGGCGTTCCTTCAGCGTCCATGCGCCCATCGTGCATAACGAGGTAACAGGGGGATAAATGAGGCTGGTTTCATTTGTAATGTACTCCAGGAGAAAGCGTCACATAAGAACCCTACAAGCTGTTCTGCAGGTACTAGCGCTATCTGTACAAAAAAAATCCGCAAAGTCCCAGAGAGACAAATACAACAGCGGTAATAAAAACGATAACCACCATCCTCTATGTACAATATACGACAGGTATGATATATGCAATAAATAGATAACAAATAGCCAAAAGAGTGGAAGCCTCGTCGGGGGGTCCGAAGCGTGGCAAAGATCGACAGCAGAGAGGATATCGCAAAATCGGGAGAGCATGATAGGTGTAGTACGACAACAATAATAACTCATTTTATTTTTCATATGTGAATGTCAACTTCCCGGGCGTCAAAGGGTTGTCTTGTGACGTCGTGTCGACTGAGATGTTCGAGTGGCGTTGGCGCACCTGGAATGCGTATTCCGAGGGCGACTCCTCGACGATGCGGGTGTTGCGGTTAAGCAGGATTTTGATCCAGGTGGGCACGATGCCGCCGGGGGGGATGACCCAGGGCTCGGATGCGTCATAGTTGGGTGGCATGATCGAATTGTTGGAGATCTTGGAGACGATCCATACGAAGCCGTTGATAATGACATAGGAGAATACGCCGACAATGACGCCATATGCAATGCTGTGCCTTGCTGTCAACATCTCAAACTCTTTAAGATACGTCCAGGGGACTCACTTGTATGACAGAGGAATAAATAGGATGGTAAGGAAAGCAGGGACAGCATCGCCGACATAGTCCCAGTTGATATCGCGAACATTGCGGATCATGAGCGAGCCAACGACGACAAGCGCACCGCCGGTAGCCCACGGTGGGATGGAGGCAAAGATGGGCGCGAAGAAGACAGAAACGAAGAAGAGGAGTCCAGTGACGATTGCCGTTATACCGGTCTTACCCCCCTCTGCAAGCTGAATCAGATCCAAGATAATATATTGAAGAGGGAATGGTGTTCATACCAGCAATACCAGTGGCACTCTCAATGAATGCCGTGACGGGACTTGTGCCCACGAGCGCACCCATGGAGATAGAGAAGGCATCGACACAGTATGCGATGGTAGAATTTTCAAAATCAAGGGTGACGGGATCACGAAGGCCGGCGAATTTAACCATAGAGTAAAGAGTACCGGTGGTATCTTAATAAAACACTGATTCCAGACGTGGTTTCATATCATTGCTGAAACACTCACCCAAAATATCCACATAAAGGAAAGTTATAAGTGCGTACCACACCTTTCCATTACTATAGTGATACTTGAAAGCAGTACATGAGCTTTGCCCTCTACAAGATCGGGATTTCACTTACATCTAGTGCATTGCCAATGTGTTTCAAGGGATGCCAAGTAACAACCTGCTTGAAGAAGTCAAACAACTGATCACCAGCGGCGTCGTGTGGGAAGTATGTGACAGAGGTGTTTCGCGGCCAAGAGATGATGGAAGTGATGAAGATACCGATTAGGAGAGATCCCTTGACACGATAAAGCATCAATAAGATCGTGAGGATACTGGATTAGGTTATGCCGTAAGTACAAATAAAGATAAGGCGCGGACCGTACATACCCGCCAGTAAAGATACCAAGCCATGTGGTAGGACTCCGCAGAACTTGAGTACCACAGAAGTATGGTAGACCATCCAACCAATCTACAGACGTAGCCCATCAGATACGATGGCGGTGCAGCGACATGGACCGAGCGTACCTGACTCGAGACAGCCACCAAGACCGACCAAGTTGGTGGTGTCACCTCCAATTACATTCAAGCCACCGGATGCTGTGCGAAAATTATAAATAAAGAATATCCATCAGAAGGAGCATGTGTAGACAAACTTAGTCCAATGAACCTGTGTAGCAACGAACAATGATGGGAGCATCAGTTGCGGGCTCATCATCGATCAACGCAAAATAATGAACTTACGCAATGTACAATCCGATACCAGCACCTACAGCAAGAACAAGGGATTGTGGCATAATGCGAGCAAGCCATTGACGTAAGCCCAGAAGGGACAAGATAAAGAAGATCCATCTACAGAAGGCGTCTAGTGAGGCGAAGAGGTCCGCGAGAGAAATGGACTCACCCTTCCAAGAAGACAGCAGCGAGTGCTTCTTGGTAAGTAATAAACCCGCTGCCGTGATAACCAACAACAGAGTATGTGAACTGTAGAAATAGTGTCAATAGGCATGTATAGAATCGTCAGGTTGCTAACGGACGTACATAGGCATTAAGTCCCATCCCTGGAGCCATACCGACAGGCAAATTCGCAAGGGCACCCATTAAGACTGATGCGAGAGCGGACATGGCTGCTGTGGAAGTGATGAGATCTTGTTTCACCTCTTGGACGCATTGGAGATATGTCGGATCAGTAGCACAGTTATTGGCCGCTTCACAGACGCAAGTTCCCCCAGAGTCAGATACGATAGAAGCGTTGACAGAAATCTTGTAGGGACAGATTGATTGATTGGTGACTTAACGGTAACGATGGAAGAACATACGATGTACGCCATGGCTGCCTGAGAAGAGCGTTAACAAAATAATCTCATCGGTGAAATTTTGATTCTCACCCAGGTCGTTATACCCGCACGAATATCTGTCTGGTTGATCCAAGTTACATCAGACTATGAAGTCTGAGAGAGCCACAGAACGAGTAACGAACCATAAAACGTGAACCTTCGCGCTCACGGGCATGGCCAGAGCCCTCCAGACGAAACCATCGTCCGACTGCGGAATCGGCAACCTACAGAGAACATTGTTATCAAGATAACTAGGTGGCCCAGGGGATATACGAACCTGGGCGTTGAGCCTGTCGGCAAAAGTAAGCATGTTGACAGAGGTGAGGAAAGAAAGGAGTGTCGGTTGAGGAGAGTACTATATAACAGATTCTAAGAGCGGGACCTAACGAAGGGTTCGAAAGAGTGAAGCGAAACTCTCACTTCAAACTTGACAAGTTAATGGGCGATAACTCTCAATTAACACCATACATAAACAGTGCTGAGTTACCGAATGCGGATCTCGGTGACATCCCGATCAGAACCTTACTATCACGTTATGCTATTGGTCACACCATGTCCACCTTTCTTGGGCATCCCTTCCAGGAACTCCCCTTGCCAAGGCTGCCCGTAGCTGTAGCTTGCTGTAACCCAGGTCCCAGGGGGTAGATACCCGGATCACATTTCTAGGCCAACATGCACTACATTTTGCCTTGCCTAGGATAAAATAATCATACCTGAATGGACCCGAATAGGGTTGACAAATTCATTATAATCAGGTCGCAGGTGACGCTGGGATCCTGATCTGAGTTTCGAAACATTTGAGTTTAGCTGTAACAGTTCAGAGTTAGGACCTTGCGGAGTTGAGAAGGCTCGGCCAGTTTTCCGAATCATCGATTACATAGAATGATGACCTCGGTGTAATGGTTAGTACACACTGATAGTAATATTGAGGTAATGAATTATTCACTTTGGACAGAAAGGTTTGAAATGATTCGAGGCGTATCATCTCATTCCACATTCACGATGCTGGCCATGAAATTAAGATTTGAATGCTGGTTTTGTCGTAGTTCTGTAATCTCACTCAAAAATAACTTGTGCATGTGATCTGTTATCTCTTGCATATGTTAGGGGGCCGGAGATGAGCTTCTCTCTAGTACTAGCGCGAAGCAGTTCTGACCCAGCCATGTGAGCAAAACACAAAGGGAGCACCGAATTTGAGGACATTTATGACATGATTAATTACGAACAGGCCCGCACACGAACAATAAAGCACTCAACATTGTCGCGTATCGATGTCCCGCGTTCATATCGATTAGAGGTCTATGCCTCGACTCGTAATCGGAGTCAGGTTACCGGGTCATTGGCAAAATACTTCTTATTGAAGTGTCGTTAGTACTTCGAAACTTCAGAAACATTTCAGAATGGTGCTATCACCATGAATCTCCGAAGTGCCGCTCAATGACGAAACAGAGCTAAGTTTAGGAAACGGTAAGAAGTCGAACAAAAAAAAAAGAATCACCAAGGGTCAGGCGAGGCCTACGGTAGTGCCTCAAAGGTCAAAGTCCAGGACTAGGCTAATCCAGACTCACGAATGCACTCGAGGGATACTCCATGGCGCCAAAGTGACAATCAGAAGGCTAATGAGATGGCTATTCTTGGCCTTCCATAAGTTGCCATATGACGTATACTGGTAACCAATATCGCTGTAACGCCGCAACCTAGAACTCCTAGAAAAGACAGATTTGGATCATGAGAATGCGCAAGTTTCAAGCTCCCAGAGTGTCGACATGTTGGCAGGCCCACGGAAAGCTTATCCAACGAGCCATAATAGGTTACTCCTGGTACCTACTATTTCGAGAGTCGAGGCGGCAGGGCAGCACTTGCTGTCAACTTCCGACATGTCGCGGGCATAATGTTACATGGAGCCTTGGCGAGATGCGGATGCAGTCCAGTCTGGCCAAGCACGATAGCGGCATCGGAAGAGAAGAGAACCCAGCTGCATGCCGACTACTTCCCACTATTCGATGGTCTTGCAACCGGATCACCAGATTATCCCGCTTACACTCGAGTTGTACCGAATGGTGTCAATTCTTTTAGTTGCTCTCAAACCGGAGTTCTCAGGTTCAGCACATTTCACACTACCTGTCAGTAGACTGCTGATAGCTTTCAAATTTCATAGGTGCCGACCCAGACGTGAGGCGGCGTGCACGATTCTGCGGATTTGGCAGCAAGTTGCAGAGGAATGACACGACTCTCACGTTAGTGGAGGAGGCTGACTTTGTCCTGACAGTTCCTGATGTCTAATTTCTCACTACTGCCTCTTGCACTCTTTTTTTATTCTAATTGTGTCTATTCTAATCTGTACTAGGACCGCCCATTGTCGCTTCTGATATCTGAAATCGCGAATGCCCTGATCAGTGGCGCTTGTCTGCCGTTCCCGCCGGCCGCTTTAGACGCGCATTTCGAATGTCCGCGTTTGCGGAGTGTTACAGGAATCTGTTGGAGCGCAATCAGCGCACGACGTGCATCATGATATTGGGAAGAACTGGTCAGTGAATTGGCATGACTGTTCTCCCGTTCTGCTTCCCTTGCAACCTTAACTTTAGGCCTGCTGTATAGTTCTCGGATAATGCTGTTTGCCGCATCATTCATCCTCATTCGTCTCGACGTTAGCGATCTCAATCCCCGCTCGCCTAACTTTTTGCCCACTGCTTCCATCGCACAGACCTGTTTCAACACTTCCATCAACCTTCTCTCGTTAAGGTCCTCGGCAACTTTCCCGCTTCTTTCTTCTTCCAAAAAAAATGGTTTATTGTCTTTTGGGGTCGTAGCCCCATACATGGGGGGCTTACTCGACTGTTAGTCTATTGCATTGCCGCCGCCTTGTCAATCTCGCCTCAGTAATGCTTCCGACCGTCCCCACTGACAGGAGCCAAGCTGTAGACTCTTGTCATTGTGGCTATAACGTCTGCCCTGATTCTGTGACTGCGCCCACATCGCATTGGTAGCCACTCACTGCATCCCGTTAAGGTCTTCGGCAACCTTTCCTTGTTCCCTGCCACCGCCCGCTTCAGTAATGCTTCCAACTAAAAAAAATTGTTCCCAGCAGCCAAGACCCTTGTCATTGTGGTTATAACAATGTCTGCCCTGATTCTGTGACTGCGCCCAAATCCTATTGCTACATTCGTAGTCCCTCACTGCAATGAGTCCTAGTAGCGCAAGAACTCCTCCACACGTGGAGACAGTGGCCGACATGATACATCTCGCAACTCCAAGTGACACACTGGGTCAATCGGCTTGGACCAGATCTCTTCGTCTCACATACAGGGCGGTTTTGTAAAACGTACAATTTCATTACGGACGTGCGTGCCCTGGCATTTAAATACACGTTCTTTCGTGAACACGCGTCACGAAATGTTTTGATTCGTGAGATTACAGGAATTACGTCGAACGCAGACGACGTCGCTGGAAACGTGCTGTGGTCAAACACGTGCGAGGGAATAAACACGAGGTTATGGACTGGAGAAGAGGACATGCCGTGGGTCAGCGGGATCGTCAAGCAGTAAGCCCGAGATGCCTTCTGGAGATGAAGGACAAGTTGAAAAATTTAGATTGCGAGAATATTCTCAAATGTATCAAGTGACATCCGGCAAGTCTGAATCTAAAGTGAAGAATCTCGCTGTAGAAGCAAAAGTACAAGTAAGCCGGAGTCAGGGACTTGCCGCGTGAGCTAAGTAGTTCAAAGTCCGATCGTAATCATGTTGGTTCGAAAGTCACTACGTTACTTCCAAGAGGGGCCAGGGCCCATCAGATTGTCATACTCGGTGAGTACTGTGACTTCAATAGACATTATTGTGCTCTATGCAGTGCTCAGTGATTTCCAACTGCCGACGGCCTGACTATATCGACTCCATACAAATACGATAATGCCGCCTTATCTCCCTGCCAGACTCATTTAAAGGTGGCTTCAACTTGAGGCGCGCAGTTTGTATTCGAGCTACTAGCCGATGTAGTGATTATAATCGCAGCTGTATCAGAAACCATGGACGACTGCCCTCACCAGCAACACTTACAGTTACACGAAGGCACAGCCAAATAATTAGCACATGAACGGCAAGTGATCGACTTTGCCAACTTCATCGGTTTAAAATTTAACGCTTGGAATTTCTGGGAATACCATCCAGAATTACGTCTACTCGTTCACCGGACTTGCACAGGACTTACTTAGCCTAGAGTCCGACGGGATGCAGAAAAGGAAACATCAAATGCATTTGATCAGATCAGTGAGTCACGCGCAGTTCGGATGCCGCAAGCGAGACGTTCTCGGCACGTCTTGAGTAAGTGGAGCAAGAGCAGTTTCGGTTAGGTAGGTGACTTACTGCGGCCCATCTGATTAGGAGTGATCTCGTAGCTTCTCAGAAGTTATCACATTTCGTCCTCTAATTCAACACCCGGGAACACTATCAGAAGGTTCTGGGCTATATGTTCTATTCAACGTATACGAGCCCCAACGCCACCTTAGTGGGCCAGTCACGAAGTGGTTCAATACTCCAGTGAGCAATTCCTGTTGGGCATTCACGAACGAAGCGCATGTGATGTTGCACCTTTAGTTCAGGCGGGACGTCCAGCAAATCTGATTCAGAGTTTGATCGGAACAACGATGGGAATATTCGGGGTCAATTTTGGACGATATATGAACGGGAGGCTGGATATCATGTTGAGGAGTTCCTTGAAAAACACAAGAGTGACATGGATATCGTTCTTATATTCGTGAGTATCTAGCAGTTAAAACTACCATCTCGATATGTTTCTATGTGGAACCGCGATTCTGACCATAATACATAGTCAGGTCTCTTCTCCGCAGTCAGCACCACTTTCATCGTTTCTCTTCAATCCACACTCAGTCCGGACGAAACTGAGATGACAAACGCCCTTTTAAAACTGCTTATCCACACACTCAACAACACTGCGTTCGATGGTCGACAGCCCGACCTCCCACAGTGGAATGGACCAGGGGCGACTGAGATTTGGATACAGTGTCTCATGTACGCCAGTCTCAGTACCAGTCTCATGGCTGCGCTGGGTGCCGTACTGGGGAAGCAATGGCTGGGGCACTTCATACGCGGCGGACGTGGTCCGATTGACGTCCGCGGTCGCCTAAGGCAACAGAAGATGGATGGTCTTCAGACGTGGCACTTTAGTGCTGTCTTGGAAGCGCTTCCGTTGTTGATCCAGATTTCCCTGCTTTTATTCGGAATTGCTCTAATTGCTAGCATTTGGACGCAGCAGCCGACCATTGCAACTCCAGTAGTGTTGACGATGGCATTTGGAGCCCTGTTTTACGGCGCCATCGTCCTATCCTGCATCGTTTCTCCAACTTGTCCATTCCAGACCACTACGTCAACGATCCTCCGGTTTGCCTTACAAAGTCTCAGTCGCTCGATCCGGAGATTCCATGTCTCGCTAGCGGGCTGGATCCCATCGCTCCTTTTTGGAATAACCGCTACTTCCAGGCTGTGCAACAATGCACGCGCATATGATAACGACAAAGAATCTGGGCTGCCGCACAAAGCGGACGCTCCTCATGACGCGGCCGCGGTTCGCTGGATAATGGAGACAACTACAGATCCAAATGTCATTACTTCAGCTGCGCTTATGGTTCCCGAGATTGAATGGCCCAAATTAATTGACGTCTCTGCTGCGATCATGCAACTACGAGATACCTTTCTAGCTTGCTTCGAAAGCACTCAAGGCAGGCAGCCCAAGCTTGGGCTTCATTCGAAAACGCGTGCACTTGCCTGCGGGAAAGCTTTAATCCACCTATACTTCGCGCGACTGGATAGCCGGGATATGCATCAGCTATTCTTTGACCCGTTGGCAGAGTCGGCATCAGCGACACCAGTCGCGACTCAGCCTCCCGACATATCTTGGTTCACCTTCCTTGTGCTGCAAGATACGGAGATGCAATTTATCTGCGACATGATACGGAGTGCCTTCCGACTGAGCTTAGGGCACCGTCCTTTCGTCCCCCGGATACCCGACTCGTACCTGGCGTGGATGTCGTACTCCATTCCGCACTGTTTGTTACATTACAAGCGAGAAAGGCACCTTCGCATGTGGGCTATTGATGCCATCACTCGTCTACTTGTCTTTCCACTGCCTCCAAGGGCTGTGATCGTCAACTGTTTGACGGCTGCTGCGCTCGTGATCGGCATTCCTCTTGAGGAGGATGCTTCGATTCGTCTCGACGAAGATGCTTTGATTCGTCTCGACAGGGGGTGAGCCCTTGGTTTATACTTCATTCATCGTGTTGGCTAATCTGCTCTACAGGGATGAACTAGAATCTTTGCTCCTGCAAGTTCTGCAAGGCTTGCAGGATCGAGATCTACAGGCAACGTTGGAACAGGGTTTTTCAGCAGCATCCCCAAATGACCCAGATAGTGGTCTTGAAGATGTTGATATCGCAATGCTCTTCCGCCCTCTCTCGGTTCTCATCGAAGCTGTCGAGTATCGTCAGATATTCCGCGACCATAATTTACCTGCTTGGGCCCTTCAACTTTGCAAACGTATGGTACAAAGAGCCAATATCAAATCTCCTTTGAACCCAATTGCCGCGGATCACCAATATCAGTGTCTCAGCAGCGCCAGAGCTGCACTTCACCTTAGTATCGTTGCCGACGCGGACCTCAGGTACAGGGCTGATGATTGGCGCGCACTGTGGAATTGCATCAGAGTAGGCACTAGCCACGGAAAACGCCGCAGGGAAGACTTCACATGGTTGCTTGACTTCATAGTTCATCATCATAATACCAAGGACCACCTTGCTTTAGGCGATGCACTCCAAGCCATGAGCAAGATTGGCGAGGTAGAGTGGCCTGAAAATTTGATGCAGGTCTACTATTCGAACATTTGTGTAGCCATGAGTCCGGATATGCCTGCCCGAACACGTCACTCTGGAATGGCGGCACTTCACGCAGTTAGGAGAAAGGTGGCTTCAGATGATTTAACGCCGAGCATGATGGTCAATCTCTCGCTTGCGCTGTCCTCTACCGCTACTCTATGCATCGATCCTCCTGTGGACGACGAGCCTTCTCATATCTTACCCCTCTCAGAGATCGCGCGATCATGGAGGCGTGACCTGTGTTACATTCAAATTATCTTTGCGCTTCGGCAGTCGCGTAAATGGGACGAGTATTTAGCGAACGACGGGCACCTTGAGCGATGTGCTGGGATCGCCGCCACTCTGACAAACGAGAATCGCAGTGGGCACATGCGGGTTATTTCTCAGTTGAACGCAGGACATCTCGCGCTTTACCTTGCAGTCATCCTCGCGGGGGAACAGCACGACACCGCCTTTAGTACAGATGCAACTGGCATCTCCACGCCGACGGATACAGATAAGCTGCGCTGGAAACTCATCCGCAAAGCTTGGGCGTATGCGTCCTCGCAACGGCTAGATGAGGGTATCCAACACGTCGTCCCCATCCTCGTCCAGCACACCCTGCAACATATGAAGGGAGGTCAACAGGACGTGTCGCGCTCCATGGAGGCAGCGGTGTTGAAAGTACTGGTTGCACTGCGGTCACTACCAGGTGTCGATGCGGATGATGATCAGGTTAATAAATTGACGGAGCTGTTGAGATTGGGGGATTGGGTGGAGAGTACGACGAAACCTCTCGTCGGGAGCTGATGTATAGGGTGCATATCCTGAGAAGTGCATGTATCACATTGTCGCGTCATTTGCATGGACATATAATTCTTATGGACCGAGTATTGACAGAATTATCCGAATCATATAGACCAATTAAATGGAAAGGCTTGTGGGGACCTGTAAATGCATGTGTACTTAGTACGAGACAGGTGACGATGATCAAATTCAATTGGAGGTGCATGGTTCAACTTGTACGGCTTATATTACATGGTGACCAGAGTACTAGATATCAATGGAAGTATGAGATTCGAAAATTGGACTACGACAATTAATGGTTCCGGCGCCTCTCCTATCAACCCTAGGGTCGCCATTCGCTCAACCAAACATCTCTTGGTCCCGGAAGTAGACTCTTCTCCCTCCGGATGTACTGGCCGTACTCCATCTTTCCAACTACCTCCCCATGGCTGAACACCACCTTACCCCTGATGATTGTGTACCTCGGCCAGTTCTTGAACTCGATGCCCTCAAACGGCGTATAGTCGACAGCATGGTGCAGCATCTCATTGGTGAGCTTGAATGACTGGAACTTCGTTTGCGGGTACCAGATAACCAAATCAGCATCGAAGCCAGGGGCAATACTGCCCTTTTTCTTCAATCCATATAGCTTAGCTGGGTTTGTGGACGTGACCTCGACAAACTTCTGTGGGGAGATGCGCCCGGAGAGGACTCCGCCGGAAAAGAGAAGCGGAATACGGGTTTCCACGCCAGGTAGTCCATTCGGGATGAGACGGAATTTACCATATGGAAGGTTTCCGTCTTTGAGTCCTCGTTGCTTTCCATTTTGATGATTGAATTTGTTAGGGGAGTGGTCTGAAGAAACAATGGTGAATGTTCCGTTTTTGACCCCGGCCCATATGGCATCTTGGTCGGACTTGTCCTCCCGGATCGGAGGTGAGCATACGCACTTCGCGCCTGCATAAAGCAAGTAAGATAAAGGTTAGCAGAACATAGCAGAGGAGTCATTACCTTCGAAGTCACCCTTTCGCATCGAATCGGCGAGAAGGAACATGTACTGGGGACACGTTTCACCGTAGATCGGAAGCAGCCTTGTTTGTGCGTCGCGGATGTGCTTTGTGGCAGGCCCACCGGATATGTGCACGAGCAGGATCGGTGTATCCATGAGTTCAGCCAAACAAATGACGCGGTTCTACTGCAATGTAAGTATACCATTTCAAACAAAGCATAAAATAGGCTCACCGTAGCCTCGGCCTCCACAATCGGAGGTCGAGATGTTCCATGGTGGTAGGGATGCGTCATGAGCTTCTGTTCTAGATGCTGCGTCATCCAGTCGATAACATCGGCATTCTCGGCGTGCACCATCGTGGTGATACCAAGTTTCCGAGCGGAATACATGACATCAAGAATCTGGTAATCCAGAAGTCTCAATGGCTTGTATGTCATATACAGCTTCACGCTCGTGATTCCGTATTCATCTACCATCCGCGGGAATTCACCTTCGACGATTTGGGGCGTCGGATTGGTGATGATAACGTGGAAAGCATAGTCACAGTAGGACTGGTCCTTGGCGAGCTTGTGATAGTCCTCGATAACAGCGATGATACTCTCGTCCTTCTTCATCTGAGAAGCGAACGTAATTACTGTTGTCGTTCCTCCAGCTACCGCACTACGTGTGCCCGTATCGAACGTGTCACCGACAAAGTTTTCGGGATCGGGGATGACCCCATTCGTAATGATGGAGTGATCAATATCCACACCGACGGTGGCTTCGTAAAACTACACAGCATAATAAGTATTTGAGCAGCGGACGAAGGAATTTACGAGCCTGGCTCAGATGAACATGAGCATCGACTCCTCCAGGAGTTACAAAAGCCCCTTCGGCATCAATCTCTTGCGCGCCAGGTGCAGCCGGAAGACGAGGACCAACAGCGACAATGGTTCCATCCTGACATAGGCAGCGATGCATTAGTAAAACCTGAACACGATAGCAGGTGGTATTCGTACTTTAACTCCAATATCACAAGACTCCCAAATGTCCGAGGCAGTCACGACGGTACCATTGCGAACAACGAGGTCGAAATCCATGACAGGGTATCAATGAAAGCTCCAAGCATGTCGCACGAGAAACGGCAGAGATAAATACTCTCCTGAAGATAACAAGAAGACCACATGAACATCATCTCACCTCAGAAGCAAGGTCTCGTGCCAGGAAGCACACCTTGGAAAGTTGTGGCTGATTTTAGTAGAGCCTAGACACAGTCGGGCGTCTGATAAAAAGGTGACATACGCTCACGTTAGCGAGGATAAACATCTAGTAGTAATGTCTCGCATGAGTGAGCTCGTTGAGCTACTTTTAATAGGCACCCACAGGTTGAATTTACATTTTTTGTACTTTGATGGTTGAACTCACCCGAAGATACACCAAGCTCGTACATTTATCATGGCCCAGACACTGGTAAGGCAACGCTCCCCCGCTCGAAGGACGCTATATTTTAGTCGTCGATCGAAATACAGAACCCGCTCCACAGTACAGAGTCAAGTTGTTAAATTTCCGGTAGACGTTGTAAATACCTGAATATCATCAGATTCAGGTATTTACGTGTAACTCAATGCCAAGTTACTTCGGAGTAGATAGTATCTTGTCTTCATCTCTGATTGCAGTGAAAGATGGACGTCTGGAGCTTGGTTCATAAATATCTTGAATAGTCGAAATGTGGTAAAAAAAATTAGATACTTGAAAACAAATCGACACAAACTTGAGAACCAATGCGCACCATATGTGGCGTTGAACGTTGAACGTTGAACTCCCATGGAGAACTATGCTATGACGTACACATAACCGACAGCTGAAAGCCTCGATAGTTGCCATCGGTCCCCACTAACCACACACCCAATCCCTAGCACTACCACGTCGTCTTCGTTACTGATGAACGATAAATGATTCTCATTGGCTGCGCTACTGCCATGATGAACGGTGAACAATTTTCATTAGGAGGGCTTATGTAACCTCGCACTCTATAATTCTATTATTAATTTAATATTTAGGCAACGGGTTAAGCATGTAGGCTCCTGTTTATTGTAAGCAGCATTGCAGCGCCGTTCAGCCACTCCTTTTGATCAGTGATCATAACCGTTACGCGACAGTTATGGTCTCAAAGATTCCTCTCAGTGGACCCGACGATAGCATCGTGGATATCTTGCAAGGAAGGGAGCGCATCGTATCTTACCCTGGCACAAGTCAGTTCAATGGTCGCGGTATATCTGCATGTGGCCTTGCAGCCATGAATTTTGCGAGAGTTCTCTCTGACCTCGTTCACATACATAGTCAGGACAGGATGATAGATCTGCTTCGAGCTATCACCAGCAAAGAGGTCATTCAAGTAAGTATTTTGTCTGATTTAGCGCCCGTCAAATCCACTGGCCGTAGCCCCTCACTGCTTCTTACGAAACGTTATACCATAGGACATTGTCTCTATCTGCTCAGGATGGTCAAGTGACTTGCACTTGGACGTGGAAGAAATCCAGCAGGTTCCCTTATTCGAGAAGTCTCTGAAGCATGTATCAACACGGTTTGGTCCCCCAAAGGCGAAGTATTTCAGGCGTACCCTGGAGTAAGCCAATTATTCGTTTATCCGTTTAATCACTTCCACGATCTTCTCAGATATATGCAAACCTTGAGCTCCTCGGCTACTGTCATCATCACCCGCCCTCCTGAGATCATCGCATGCACGCTGATTAAAGGATTAGAGACGGATGTCTTCGTGATTTTTGATTCTCACCCGCGGCCAAGCTATCCAGCTGGTTCTGGCCTTATTCTCAATACATCGATTGACCAAGCGGTCTCACGCTTGGCCAGCATATTGCCTGCTATCGACAGCCATCTTCTTTCCCTGAGTGGCTTGCAATGGCAAGCTCAGCTGCTTAATAACGTCTCGGGCCATATCTTTATGTCAAATGGACCACCTTCAGATATGCGAGGCATGCAGCACACTGTCGTTGAATCCAGCCTAGCCGTTCTGAGATTGCGAGCCGAAGTGGCCGAGTTGACGCAGAAAAATGAGAGGCTGGCTGAAGAAAACGCGACACTCGAAGAAGAGGTTCAACGCTTGGATGATGCTTTGAGCATTGAGAGGAAGAAAGTGGTGTCGCTTCAGGAACCCTCCAAGATCGTGCAGAGCAGCAGTGAACGACACTTCACTTCAAAGCCTCTCCCTTCGCGGCCCTCAAATGGAATAGCTGGATCATCACGGCTGGCTCCGCTCAACTTCTTGTCCTCGTCCTCGTCCTCGTCACCTAACAAAGTAACGAACAAGGGTCGCGGTCGTGATGCAGATGCATGGTCATCGCTTTATGATACGGTCAAGGAAGATCTAGGGCATGAGTGGGGGCTTGACAGCCTGAATTCAGCCGCAGCCCTCGAGTTGCAGCAATCTTTTGACGTCGAAGATTTGCAACTTCGAGATCAGATGCAGACTCTGGCTGCCTCACTCCCACACATTTTTTCGTGCGTAATATGCATGGAAGAACAACCTGTGGACGACAGTGTGGATCTTGAATGTGATCACTCGATATGCAGAACTTGTATCCGAGGACATATTTGCTCTAAGATCGAAGAACATCGTTTTCCAGTCCTGTGTCCCGTTTGCATGACAGAAAATAATAACCGTCAACCTGCAGGTTTGTACATCCTCTGTAGTACCCATTGTTAACTCACCCTCCTTAGCGATTTCGGGACTCCTCGTGCAGCAAATTGGTGTCAATGAGCGGCAATATACGATTTGGGAAGACATGGAACTAAGCCAGCTTTCAGTTCTCCTTCACTGCCGCAAGTGAGTGTCTCACTCGTGTTACCTTCCGGCGCGTCAACCATGTCATTTAGATGTCAGCGTTCAGTGCCAGTAGACAAACAGGAACATGATGAATCTCGCATGCTGGTTTGTCCTCTGCCCGATTGTGACCATATTTGGTGCAAAGCGTGCCAGCAATCTTTCATAATTGGCGGTCCTCCCCACTCTTGTGACGGCACCTCGGAACTGGACCATTTAATGAAGCAGCGTGGGTGGAAGTATTGCCCAAGTATGTGCTTTTCCTATTAGTTATTTACTGTTACTTACGGTTCTTGGCAGACTGCAAAACACCGGTCCAGAGGGACGGGGGATGCAGTCATATGACCGTGCGTGATCTACTTTTCGACAAGCATACCGTTCTAACGTATATGCTGTCGTAGTGCATCTCCCCGGCCTGCAACACTCACTTTTGCTACATTTGTGGACAAAATATTGTTCGTAGCGCCTTGCAAAGTGACATTCGGACCGCGGTCGCTGCTCACTATCGCGCTTGCAAACTGTTTGATTACCCCGAGTGAGGCACTCGGCAGTAGTGGACGGGAGTGTTGTAGGTTTAAGTGGGTTACAAGTCGGACTGTAACATCTTTGTCGTATAATTCCAGAAATGCAATTTGAGCCTATGGCATGAGGGACAGTCTTGGATAACCTTAGCTCCGCCATAAGCCACCCAATTATTGGGTGGCTTATGGCGGAGCTAAGGTGGGCACCAACGTCTGACGATGAGTCCGTCGCATCGTGGAGGCAAAGTTGAACATTGATTCGAGCATATATCAGTGAGTGTTATCGAGCTCACTAGTGGTTAGTATGGATTAATGAGGCCTCACATGCGAAGGTGCAACCAAGATACGGCCTCCTGAGTCCTCATGCGCGGTAGTGTCTATTATATTTTAGCTTATTACTGTCGTGAAATTTAGGAGTCAACAGAAGTCAACCCTATTGTTCCCCATTGCTAGGTTTCCTCTGATACTATCTACATGACGGACAGGCCTAGGAGATAGGAACCGTAAGCTTGACCTGTTTTTAAAATGAGACCTCCTGATGCAGTGACCGTCCCGGGCCTGGCTTCGTCACATTTGCAATCACTCGATGACGCATCATATTCATTAAATGAACACATGTCTCTGCGACGTCTATCAGGCGCCCGACTTTGTCTGCTAAAATCGGCGGCGATTGAGGAGTTCAATCTAGCACGAGACCTCGCTTCTGGAAGCTGAGGATGTTCATGTGGTCTTCCTGTTATCTACAGCACCGGTGTATATATCTGTGATCTCCCGGTGACAATGGACATACTTGGAGCTTTCGCTGATATCACACCATCATGGATTTTGACCTTGTCATCCGCAATGGTACCGTCGTGACTGCCTCAGACATCTGGGAGTCTTGTGATATTGGAATCAAAGTACGAATCTCACCTGCTGTCACTTCCGATTTTTCCATGTCTATGTTATAAAACTAGGATGGGACAATTGTTGCCGTCGGTCCTCGTCTTCCAGCCACAACTGGCGCGCAAGAGATCGACGCTGAAGGAGCTTTTATAACTCCCGGTGGAGTTGACTCTCATGTTCATCTCAGTCAGGCTGGTATTATTCCTCGTTATCTGCTGCCATATTCTTATTTATATCATATTGTGCAGGTACACAATGCCAACGTCGACGACGTAGATCATTCTACCACTACAAATGGGGTCATTCCAGATCGCGAAAACTATGTCGCTGACACGTACGACACGGGCACGCGCAGTGCAGTTGCTGGAGGAACGACAACAGTAATTACGTTCGCCTCACAAACGAAGAAGGACGCAAGTATCATTCCTGTTATTGAGAACTACCACAAGCTTGCCAAGGACCAGTCCTACTGTGACTACGCTTTCCACGTCATTATCACCAATCCGACGCCCCAAATCGTTGAAGATGAATTCCCGCGGATGGTCGACGAGTACGGAATTACGAGTGTGAAGTTGTATATGACATATAAACCCATGAAGCTTCTCGATTACCAGATTCTTGATGTTATGTATCACGCTCGGAAACTTGGTATCACCACGATGGTGCACGCCGAGAATGCCGATATCATCGACTGGATGACGCAGCATCTCGAGGAGAAGCTCATGACGCATCCTCACCATCATGGCACATCTAGACCTCCGATCGTGGAGGCTGAGGCGACGGTGAGTTGACTCTTGCTCTGTTTGACATGACATGCTCAGGCTGGCAACAGAACCGCGTCATCTGTCTGGCTGAACTGATGGATACACCGATCCTGTTGGTGCATATATCCGGGGGGCCTGCCACGAAGCACATCCGCGATGCACAAACGAGGCTGCTTCCGATCTACGGTGAAACGTGTCCCCAGTACATGTTCCTTCTCGCTGATTCGATGCGAAAGGGGGACTTCGAAGGTATCGACTCATCTGCCATGTTCTGTTAACTTTTGTCTTACTTGCCTTATGCAGGCGCGAAGTGCGTATGCTCACCTCCGATCCGGGAGGACAAGTCCGACCAAGACGCCATATGGGCTGGGATCAAGAACGGAACATTTAATGTCGTCTCTTCAGACCACGCTCCTTGCAAGTATGACCATCCAAACGGAAAGCAGCGCGGGCTCCAACACGGGAACCTTCCATACGGCAAATTCCGTTTCATACCGAACGGCCTACCTGGTGTAGAAACCCGTGTTCCGCTTCTCTTTTCCGGCGGGGTCCTCTCCGGGCGCATCTCCCCACAGAAGTTCGTCGAGGTCACGTCCACAAACCCAGCTAAGCTATATGGATTGAAGAAAAAGGGCAGCATTGCCCCTGGCTTCGATGCTGATTTGGTTATCTGGTACTCACAAACAAAGTCCCAGCCATTCAAGCTCACAAACGAAATGCTGCACCACGCTATCGACTATACGCCGTTTGAGGGTATCGAGTTCAAGAACTGGCCGAGGTACACAATCATCAGGGGCAAGGTGGTGTTTAGTCATGGGGAGGTAATTGGGGAGATGGGGTATGGTCAGTTTATTCAGCGAGAGAAGAGTTTACTTCCAGGACCAAGAGATGTTTGGTTGAACGAATGGCGTCCCTAATTCATTGATCGTTGTACTCCAATTTCCATATACCGTTCCATGTGAACTGAATTCCTTGGTGGTGTAAACCAGCTGTTTCACTGATATGTGCGAAGTAAGAAATACCGAGGCTGATCCTCAAGCTTTGGGATTGAGTCATTGAAAATATGGCCAAAGTTCTGGATGATATCATCTCGCACACTGCAAATATTCTTTCAAAGGTCAAGATGAGCTACCAGTTCTCCACTGTGATGCAAGGCGCTCACCGTCCGACCACAAATATTGTCGTAGGTGCATGATGATCGATGAGCACCACTACTCCCGCTCGGAGCACTTGATTTTGTACACGTGAGCTTACTAAGCGAGACTCGTCCATGGACCAGTCCGAAACTCCCAGCGGCAGGCGTCCTCGAGGTGCAAGCGCCCACCACAGTTTCTGCCTTCTCACCCCGAACTATAGGGTGTGATATGCTGGGTGACGTTCCCTGTTCCTATGTAGGTCGTATATGTTCAAACCCCGAAGTGCACCAAAATGAAGGTTCACCCTCAAAGGAATCTGTTTCAAGCGCGCATATTGGACCTACCACCCCTCCTTTGTCTTGATTGTCAGTCCAACGAACGTGTTTTATGCCCACTCACGACAGTATAACTGTGAGTTTGACGTCAAACACTATCAGATCGATCGCTTACTTGTCCAAGCATTATCTATCCTCCGTCTACGAAGTGTACTACTGTCTTCCTGCCGCCTATTCTTAATGGCATTCACACTCCTTAAGAACTTGAATCTCTGTTTCTCTGCTTCCGGAAGTCGATGTATGTTTGATGGACCAAATATCCCAAAAGTCATAGGAGGAGACCCAACGATCAATGGAGAACGGCAGCGTCCGGTCGAATTTAGACCAACCGAAGGGGCGATCATTGACATATTATGCCTTCAGTAAGAGATCCGGAAATATTCTTCGCGAATTTTCAGGCTTGATTGAACCTCGGCTCCTCGCAATATACTTCTACGAGCCGAGTGCATTAAAGCCTCGATGTCATATAACACCGCTGTAGCAAGTATTTTCTCGGATAAGTGTCGTGAGCCTAACTGACGCTATTTTACTGGCTTGCTTGGTTCTAGAGTCCTGACAGATAGTCGTCTCGCAAATGAATACAATCAATAGCATGATGCTGCATCTTGCATTCTTATGCTTGGCGCCAAGAGTCTATGGTGAATCGACCCGCATTGCTGGACCTGTGCCGAAGGGTGATTTTTTTCCGAGGGTTAAACAAGAAGACTGAGTCATTCGACGGCGGGATGACAAACTCCACTACTAAGCAGAAATCGCAAGAACGGTAAACAAGCAACTTAAATATCTTGTGGAGTTAATCAGCTTGCGAACCAGGCCTAGCCAGACTACTTCTGTTTGGCGAAGAGTGAGAAGCAGTTTGAGAAGCTGGACTGTGAGTTGATACATTCTTACCGCGTTGAAGCGTTGATTTCTTGGCAAATACTTCGACAGTCTGTTCATCGAGGCACTGCGTCTATGTTTCTGTCCATCTGGCGGTCCTGCCCAATGCATCAGCGCTGACATCGGAATTAAATTCTGACTCTTCGTAATGATGCTTTAGCACCCAGATGGCTCCCGGGACGGACCTGGGGTGGCGACAAGTTATCAACGTCATATCGTGTTTTCGCAGCGTGCTCAAGACATCTAGGGCCTTGGTAGGGAACAAAATGGACAAAATTGAAAGAGCGTCCTAAAGTGGAGGTGCCTCAGGGAACTACACCTTGAGGCTTGAATAACCACATCCGTAGATAAATTGGATCTGGATTGCTAGCGGTGAGTCTATCATGAAAACCGTCTCAAACGTCCGAGTTGATGGTTTTTGGTCATTCTGTGGCATTTATCTCCTTGGCGAGGCTTCGCACGTCAGCCATCGTGGTATCGAACACTTTTGCTAAACCTTCCAAGCACTCGGTTCTGGTACAAGATCACATTAAGTGAACTAAGTGCCAGAAGCGAAGTGACCGTTGATGGTACACCGCACGAGCATCGCATGGAAAGTCATTACTTGGCAAGATTCGCCATGCACTTCCTTATCGGAGGCGTCGAGGGCGTGATGCAGCGGATATCAAGGTTGCAAACACCCACTCAAAGAATCTGCGAAGCTGATTTCGGGTCAGCGATAACCGATGCGCAATACTGATGCGCAATAAACAGTTGCAGCCTGCATATTTAAACAGTTGTGATTTACCATTTGTCTTCCTCATACTTCTCCGCATACTACTATGGTCCAGACTGATGATATTCCTGTCGTACTCGTGAAGGAGCAAGATGTCGAACCTCCTTACTCTGTATTTACGACTCGGGAAAAATGGCTCATAGTAACTCTTGCATCCATAGCAGGGTTGTTTAGGTGAGCAAATGGGTTTCCTCGACATTTGAAACTGTTATGAACAGTTTTGTCAGCCCTCTGACGGCGTACATATATCTTCCTGCCATTCCGATGATCGCGACTGCGTTTGACAAGACTGTCGAACTTACCAACCTCACGGTGACAGTTTATCTAGTATTTCAGGGTGTATGTCAGTGAAGCCTGCCGCATGCTGTGTGTCCGGGCTCATCGTTACCGCTTAAAGCACCCATGTTCTGGGGTACTCTCGCAGATCGCATGGGCAGGCGACCAACGTCGCTTGGATGTTTGTTTGTTCTCAGCCTTGCTTGTATCGGTCTGGCGTTCGTACCGACATCATACTTCTGGTTGTTGATGGTTCTTCGATGTCTTCAAGCGGTTGGTAGCGCTAGCACGCTCACGATCGGTACGCTACCGTGTATGTTTTATTTTTGCGCTCCATCTCATTCGCTACAGGTGCGGGTATTATTGCAGACATCGCTACCCCTGCGGAACGAGGTGGTTTCTTTGGCATCTTCACAATGGGTCCACAGGTGAGCGCAAGAGTACATAACTTGACTATGTAATGACTGAATTTTGAAGGTTGGACCTGCAATAGGACCCGTTGTAGGAGGCGCTCTTGCGGATAAGCTCGGATGGAGGTGAATCAGTTGCCCGCACAAATAGACCAAAGTTTTCCTCATGCGGTCCATTATTCAGATCCATTTTTTGGTTCCTCTGTATCTCCAGTTCAGCGTGTTTTATTGTCATGGTCACGTAAGTCGCGATATCTAGCGATATTCTCTCTGACGTAGCCCGGGTGTCAGGTTCCTCCCGGAGACCTTGCGTAGTATCGTCGGAAATGGTAGTGTCTTTCCGCCCATCCAGTATCGTCCTTTATTACCCCTAATGGGGCGTGGCCATAAGGATTCTGAGGTGGAGTGTCCACCTCGTAAATCTCATAACCCCTTCCGTCTGTTTGCATGTGTCGATGTCTTGAACCTCCTGATTTTCAATGGCATTCAATACGCGGTGTTCACCGCCATTCTAGCGACTATATCTTCATTGTTCGAAGAAAACTACCCTCACCTGACAGAGACGGATATTGGGATTTGCTACCTGGCATCTGGAGGGGGGCTTGCGCTGGGCGCAGTGTTCAGTGGCAAGCTCATGGACTGCGATTACAGGACTGCGAAGGAGCAGCTGATTCGTAATTTTACACCGGAGAAGGGTATTCAAGGTGATATCATAAGCAATGACGATTTTCCCATCGAAGCAACAAGGTTGAAGAGATTGCCACTTTGGATGATAATATTCTGCGCAGCTTGCACCGGATATGGCTGGTGCTTTCAAGCGCGAACGACCATTGCAGTTCCTTTGGTCCTCCAATTCGTTAGTGAGTCCTTTCTTGATTCTTGCTCGTAGTTTAGTGCTCACTGTTTGGTTACACAGTCGGTTTTTCGGAAATCGCTATACTCACTACCATTCAAACTCTTTTGATCGACCTTGTGCCGTCGCAAGGCTCTTCGGTGACTGCGTGTGTGAGTCCATTGGATTTCTCTGATACACAACATTGTGACAACGACCGCAGAATAACCTCATACGGTGCTCCATGGGAGCGTTGTTAGTCTCCGTGATTGACTTGCTACTTCGCAAGATTGACGCTGGGTGGACATTTGTTCTTCTTGGGGGGATATGCTTGATCTCGGTGCCCCTGGTTTGGCTGGCAGTGCGTATTGGACCTCCCTGCCGTGCTGGCAGACGCGTGCGTCAGGCTGCATCTTAAAAAATAGCAAAGCGGGTGGTGGGTACAGGAGGTGTAATAATATTTTTGACTTCCGTTGTTCGTAATGTAGAATTGGAATTACGATCTGAACTACTTTAGTAGTGTCTTGCTGTCCGTCGGAGAAGCGCTCACATAGTATTACTCGTTGATTCGAAAAAAAAACCCAGGCCGCTTCTTTACATGGTAATCACGAAGATCAATGCATCGGGTAGACTGATATGCAATTGTAAGTTGCAACCAACTATTCCGGTAAGAGCTAGGTCGTCGGATGGCATTAACTCGGCCATGTCAATCACTGCAGACACTGGGTACTGATTCGTGGCATCAATTATGTAGGAGCATGACAACGCCACTAGAAGCTGTCTCCTGACGGCCTGGTGCCGCGATCTTCTGCGATTATTGGTCGCCGGTGGAAACAGATCGAGCAGAGGAATTGGGAACTGGTTCGCCAGCGACGCTTACCGGATCATCATTTATCATACGCAGGAACATGCGTATAATCGCCCCTACATCGCTTTCACTTCACTACAATCGTACAGTCACGATTCGATGCATCTTATGATTCCCACTGTAAGTTGCGTAGCCTGGCAGTACTCCCAAATTTCACGAGGGCTTCGAGTCGTTTGGAATGGTACTTCTTTCTGCCGAGAGACAAGCCCACGCAGCTCTCCCAACATCGAGATGTTGGAATAGAAATGTGGTTTCGCTCATTCCACTCATCAGGAAAATCTTCCGATGCTAACCGATGCTAACCTAGACTAAGTATGTCAAATTTTGAAAAAACTAGACAAGTTATACAAATTAGCGCTAGATTCAATAATCTGTTCAAAATGAAATAGGCTCGCTGCTCTGGGGCCAGAGACTACTGCCTTAATATTAATAGTCCGTGCTTCTCTGCCCCATCCCTAGTAGGAGTATCATTCGAAGGGAGAGACAAAAATCAGATTGGCACAATACAGACGCGATTTGCCACAAGCCATTGAATTCAGGTTACAACAAATATTGCTAAAAGATTACTTTGTTGAAAGTTAATTAGAGTGACATAGATGTCACACAATGTGTCACAGGAACTGGTCAGGGTGACAGCATTTTGGGCTCGCTTTCTTGCTCGCTCATTGTCCAGCGCGATCCACAATCATTATTCAACCATGCAGGCAGGACAAACACCAGTGTTCGTCATGAGTATGTACCGCTTGTACTTTTGAATGTAAACTCAACGCGATCTTTTGCAGACACTGCACCAGAGAGGCAGTCAGGAAGGAAAGCCCAGATCTCCAACATCACTGCCGCAAAGGCAAGTTTCATCGACAACATATACTTCATTTTTGTCTCATTCATACTTGCTTCTCAAATAGACTATCGCTGATGTTATTCGAACATGTCTTGGCCCAAAAGCCATGCTCAAGATGATCCTCGATCCTATGGGTGGTATACTGTGCGCCTCTACACATCTCCTGCCATCAATATATCTGAGTAATGTATAACTTTATAGGCTAACAAACGATGGAAACGCGATTCTCCGTGAAATTGACGTTGCACATCCTGCAGCAAAGAACATGATCGAACTCAGTCGTACTCAAGATGAAGAATGTGGTGATGGTACGACCAGCGTCATCATCCTTGGTGTGTTTTTAAGTCTCGAAACCATATCATTCTCTTATCATCCTATAGCGGGAGAAATTCTTGCTCAATCCCTCTCGCAGCTTGAACGCGACATCCACCCTGTTGTTATCATTTCCGCTTACAACAAAGCTCTCAAAGAAGCTCTCGCGATCGTAAATCGCATCTCCATCCCCATTGACACGTCATCTGATGAGGAAATGCTCTCTCTCATTAAAACTTCTATCGGCACCAAATTCGTGGCACGTTGGAGCGATTTAATGTGCCATTTGGCCCTTCAAGCCGTGCGCACCGTTGCCTCGGATGACGCTGGACACAAGAGTGTTGACATCAAGCGCTATGCACGTGTCGAAAAGATCCCAGGTGGATCCATTGAAGAGTCGAGAGTCCTCGATGGTGTCCTTCTCAACAAAGACATCACCCACCCAAACATGCGCCGACGAATTAAGAACCCGCGTATTATCTTACTCGATTGTCCCCTTGAGTACAAGAAGGGTGAGAGTCAGACCAACATGGAGTTCTCCAAGGAGAGCGACTGGCAACGCGCACAGGAAATCGAGGAGGAGCAGGTCATTGCGCAGTGCAGACGTTTACTCGAATTCAAGCCCGATCTTATCATCACCGAGAAAGGCATATCCGGTATGTGTTGAGATTGAAATATGCCTGAGCTACTGATTTTTTCTCCTTCAGATACGGCACAATATGTCTTTGAGCGAGCAAACATCTCTGCTATTCGACGTGTCCGCAAATCAGACAACAACCGCATTGCTCTGGCCATTGGTGCAACCATCGTGAACCGCGTGGAAGACCTCCGCGACTCCGATATTGGCACAGGGTGTGGGCTATTCAATATCGAGAAGATGGGGGATGAGTTCGTTATTTCGGTTCTGCCTGGCCCCCTCATTTACGCGATCCACTCAGATATTTCACATTCCTGACCGAGTGCAAAAACCCAAAAGCGTGCACCATTCTCCTCCGTGGCCCCTCCAAGGACATACTTAATGAAATCGATCGTAATCTTGCAGATGCTCTTAGCGTTGCGCGCAATGCATACTTTAACCCCCTCCTTGCGCCGGGAGGAGGTGCGACCGAGATGGCGATCAGCGTAGGGTTGCACGCTAAAGCACGCAGTGTCACTGGGGTTGAGGGATGGCCATTCAGAGCTGTTGCAGATGCTATGGAGGTAGTTCCACGGACTTTAGTGCAGAATAGCGGCGGGAATGCTATCAGGGTACTGACAGAGCTCAGGGTGGGTGATCATATTTCTGTGGAGAAATAGTACTTAATTAATGACTTCTGATAGGCCAAGCATGCGAACGGAGAGCATTCATGGGGCGTGAACGGAGAGACTGGAAAGATAGTCGATATGAAGGAATACGGCTTGTACGAGAGTGCAAGCGTAAAGGTGCGCTCCATGATCTTGTAGTCCGATGAGTCCCCTGACCATCTATCTGTTGCACGTTCAGATCCAAATCCTGAAAACTGCTGTTGAGGTATATCTATTGTTCGTCACGCGTGTGCCGCCTGCTTACCATGCCCACAGGCTGCCCGTATGCTACTGCGTGTCGACGACGTCGTACAAGCCACACGAAAAGAGCGCGAACAGCAAGGCCCTCCACCGGAGGAGATGCAGGGCGATTAGAATTGATGCACAGATAATACGGAAAATCGCATTTTGTGCACAGTGCGTTCAGAATATACTAATTTACATGTTTCGAAGTGTACCATCTGCGCCAGCAGTGCAGATCTTTTAATGAAGACACGCTGCGCGGTACGGAAAGATCCAGGTTAAAATGCGTCTAACGTTAGTATACGCCCTAGTTTGAGAGGCTCTTGCCAGCAGTGATGTCGCTCGTTTGAGAACCATCATGATCAGAGTCTGGCAATGTAGAAAGAAATAACGTGTAGATATGCTCGTATCAACAAGGATCACGATGTATAATCTGAGTGACTGACATGACGGGAAACGAGAAGATTAAAGAGCTCATGCGACGTAGATCTATACACATAGTCAGGAGTGCCTGAGAACGAGAACAGTATGATAATATTATCGTGACGAAGGGTCGCATAACAAAATCTGACGCGGCTGGCTTTCTAGCTCTTTCGAGGCGTAATCTCGATGGGCTACCCTGTGCATTTCTGGTTCCCTGGCTACATGTGTGCTCACCCCTTTTGGAATGTTCATGTACTGTGCAGTTGGGGGAAAAGCTACACATTTGTAATGCACTGCCCATGTGAAAGTTGAAACGAAGGGGGGTAGACACCTTTTGAAATAACTTGGGAATACTTCGAGGGAGCGTTTAGCTGGGTTTCCATTTGGACATTCAATTTTTTTTTGAAACTGAGCTCGACACGTATCGTCTACCACAGAGCTTCGCCCCAATGGACAATCCAAATAAAACTGAGTTCGACCTTCATATCTAAATGGGAGATATATTGTGGCTCAAAAATCGCTGGACAGGGGTTTCGCGAGTACAAGCCAAGGGCATCCAAAACTCTCATCGAGTCTAATCCCCCCAACCATAAGTATCTCGCACAGGATGATGAGCAACTTCTTACCCTTCCGAAGGAAATCTGTCCCCGAATCCTGCAAAAAAACCTAGACCTGCTTTTCTATTCTTTTCGAATCTGCGTCGACAGAGTATTCGTCAGCTCACATATTTGATAGCGTTCGATGACTGGTGTGGGCAAGACCAAGAAAACAATATTGCAGCGTTCCGCCCCCTTCAGATGTTAAAAACCACCGTCCGTTTGTCCAAAAATACTTGACCATTCTCAAGAACATCACCAGGCCCCTAACATTATCTGTTGCGTTAGAAGCAGCGACGGCGGAGTCCCAGTATGCAGCGAGTAAAAGCCTCTCATACTCTTTATTATTCTTGGACTCCCGATCCTGACCGCCATGTTGGACTCGTAGTATAATCTGGTCAGCGAAGCAGAACTGCCTACACAGAATCAACATAGCACCAAGTTCAAAGGACACATAAGCACCTGCGTTTAACAAATTCTTGCTAACGAAATAGTCGCTAAGACCAGAATCGTCGGGTATGACTACAAGCACAGTGAAAACTGCACTAGTTATAGTCACATTTGAGCTGAAAAGGGATGAAAACCCCAAGTAGAAAACTACCAATCCCCGGTGCAAGCCCGAGAATTCTTGACGCCGATGCGCCTGGATAGCATAGGACGCCATGGTTTATTCAGGAGATCTTAAGACGCAGAGTACGATTGGTTTGAGACGTTGCCTTGGAAGAAATGGAGCCAAAACTAGCATATAGAGTAAAATAAGGCCAGCGGGCTATGACGAGGGGATACGATGTTCGTAAACATCATCTACAACAGAGAATTCAGTGTTATATACTGATTGTTATCGCCGGAATGAATATCACTTAGAGGATGATTGTCTTGAAGTCGGACGGGTGAAAAGACACATGGTATATCCCGTTGCGCAAGGTGGTCGCTGCGAGGCCTAACATCAGTCTTTTGGAATGTGTATTGCCATTAAGCATTATTCTGGGTCATGGGGCGAACCATTCCGCTAAGACGTGATATTGATAGTAGATATCAAGGACTCACCGTAGCACTAAACATAAAGTAAACGCTACTACACCGATGTTCGGAAAAAGGAAAGCCAGTCATGTCTTTGCTTAGTAGTACTTGTGCGTCACGACAATGCTCTTCATTGACAGATGCTCCCGACAGACCACAGTCTACAGATCAGGGTAGTCACGACTACCCTGGTCTGTAGTTGTCCATCGAGAGCTGGTTTCCCGTGTCGGCACCACCTAAATATTTAATTGCGATCTTGACAAGTTTTTGTGCGTGTGATGCTGGCTGATACTGGATAGTCAGGCCTGCCAACATGCGCGATTCCGTCGGACTAATAACCAACATTCAATCACATTGGTGGTATGAATTTGCACGGGCGGATGTTAATGATGGCGATCTTTAGCGATCACGCCAATGTTTTTTTGGACAACTCGACAATTTTACCTCCTGGTACTAGTTGTAGCTTGTCAACTAAACATCGTCACAGAGAACGAGAACGGATGCAGCACATCATGTAAGGAGAGTGCTACTTACCACTGGCCGTTCTCGCGTTTTAATCCAGGGGAGCGCACTTAAAGATACGCTGGCAAGATGCAAGGGAAGACAGCCTAAGACTCTGGTCGATGATCGATGGCGCCTGAGACCTGAGGGGCGACACGAGGTGCGACTGTCAACGTGTTGCCAAGGATCCGAGACGTCGGATTCAAGCTCAGTACTCCGAATCAGTGACTGACTTGGTTTCGATACTTTGCGTGATGTATGTAGTAACATGTCCGTATAGCACGTGACCGGCCCAAACAGTACGCTAGTAGCTAGTTCAATTTCATGTTCTCGCCATCGTCGTGTTCAATAGCCTGACACTTTCTACATAAGTCCTGTACCTTCTAATTCTTCTTCAGTATGACAGACAAGATATCTCTGAAGTCAGCCCTTGCAGTTCTGGAGAATGGGCAATCTGACGAGCTCCAGACTCCATCGTCAATAACTGCGGTCACGGTAACAGATCAAGACAACCTAGAGGAAGGAGAGATTTCCGAGGAAGACGTATCAAGTACTGCTTCAACTCCTCCCCGAATCGCGGGCCAGCTGTTGAATATATCAAGTGGCACAAGTCTTTCATCTGAATCTGTTCAGAGCTCTCGTTTATCTTCTCCCTCAATCACTGCCTGCGGCTCGACCGCGACATCAACAACGCCACAATATTCGGATACGGGACCTAGTATGTCAACGCTTATATTCCTTTGTAAATGAAATGTCGATTGAAACTTTCCTCATAGTGACTCTCCAAGACCTGGATCACACCAAGAACCTCGTACTTGATCTCCTAGGTTGGGGCGTTTCTCCTGAATATCTGGTCGAGGTTGGTGTATCGGCGGGTGTAATATACAGGGTGTTTACCGATCTCAATCTCCGTCTTCCTACAAATCTTGTTCTTCCTCCCACTCGACCCTTGCCGCCTTCTGGTATATGATAGGTGTCTGTTTCCTCACTGTTCGGACCTTGCGCGTTCTGTAATCGCTTTGTCGCCTCTGTTTTCGATACTTTTTCTTCCAGCCTACCGAACCATTCATTTTTTCGAGTTTTGCACGGGAAGTCTGGATCCCCCGGTTCTTGTTGTGGGGTGAGAGCTATTGGCTATTGTCACAATCCCCAAGATATATGAAGGGTGTTCGAAGATCTCCGCCACTCAATTTCCCCATTCATAGGTGATTTTGACCTGGTTGCATCGGTAGGTTTAGATATTTAACATTGCCTGCACCTATATGTATCCCACTGCTTCGGGTCGTCTCACCACAGATATCGCAAGGCTTGAAAAGTACGAATTTCAATCGACTAATCTTGCCTTAGCTCGCTTTGCCTTTGTGTGCATCATGTTCTTGGGCGCTATTGCGACTTGTGACACAGTTTAGAATTCCTGCAAGTCTCTGCGTCCTTGAATTGTGCATTACCATCATGCATTCCAATCAGCAGCGGCATTCAACATCCGAAACTACCTACAAGAGACACAGCAGACATCAGAATATATACATATGTATGGGGAAGAGGAACGGTTGTCGTAGATAACAAATCCTATGACTACATGCCAATATCGCCTTGTATATCATATGCCTCCGTGACCTTTCCATGCCGCATGCTCATCTAGGACTGGCTGATGAGTTTCTCGAGATCAATGAGTTCACCACCGCTAGTCAGGGCAGCCTCAATAACCGCAACGTCTTTCAGTGTACCAAGGGGGCTGCCAAGGCCATCATCTTTTCCATCCAAGGCCGCAAAGAAGCTCGCCTGCTCCAATTCCACGCCTCTGATTGGCTCATCAATAACCTCCTCCTTTTCGGGGCCAAGTACCCCGTCTGCATCGCGAGTGGCTGACTTGATAGTAACGCGAAAAATGGGCTTCTCAACGTTGCGGATGAGGTCACGAGCCAGGGTTTGCTGAACCTCGAGCCAGCCATCTGTACCGGTGATGACAATACCCCGACCTGCGTCGGAACGAGATGGGCTGGGTGCGGCGAAACTGAGCTCGAAAATGCCATGCGAACCGTCCGCGTTCTTTATGATTGTGTTAATAGTATCGTGGGGCGCTAGCCACTCCTTGTTGAGCGATGCAAACCCGGACATGTGAGTCATTTCACTTGGGAGTATGACACGAAGAGCTGCGACGGAGTGCTAAAAGCAAGTCAGCTGCGGCTTTCTGCAAGTATTCGGGACTGACCACACCGCCATCAAGCTATGCTCAGCTATGTGTCAGCTGGTCGAGGAAGCACAATACGAATCTTACCAGGAAGCCTCCTTGATACTAATCCGATAGAAGCGAAGACACGGGCCAGAACTTGTCAGACCACACATCAGAATGAGAAAATTAACATTTACTTACGTCCGGAACAGTTCGCCACGGGGTCTTATACCATTTTGAATCCTTGTCGATGAAGTTGACGGTACGAGAGCTGAAGAAGGTGATTTTTCCTATCTTGCCAGCGGTGATAGCACGACCAGCGGCAATGAAACCTGGCTCAGCCTCAAAATTTTCTGCTACTCTCCACACAAGCCCCTTGGGCTTATACTGTGCTTCATACTGAGCGATCAATTTGGCACCAGACGCTACATCCGGTGCAACAGGTTTTTCACTTAGCACGTGTTTGCCGGCTGCGAGTGCTTTCAAGACGATGGACGGCTGTTGGGTGATTGGGAGGATGATGATAACGGATGAAATATCGGACCTGGCGAGAAGTGCGTCAAGATTTAAAGATGGATTTCCGTCAAAGTAGACATCAGGGGTAGTCTTGAGGAGGGTTGTTGCTTGGGCAGCAAGTTCACGCGCGCTCTTCTCTGATCGCGAGTAAACGGCCCTAAGCTTTGGCGCGAGAGGGCCAAGTATTTGTAGCGCAGGAAGGTGTGCTGTTGAAATATCACCATTACCTTGAGCCTTTTGAATGTTTGGGGGATGAGTGAGTTTGCACACCTTCCTTGGCGAAAAGACCCGCGCCAAGTATGGCAGTTCCGGCGGTGTTTGAAGCTGACATGAATGATTGTTTGTAACTGATTTCGACAAGATGGATCCGCAAACGTTAACAGCAACGGGGACGAAGACAAGTGCTACTATGTCTTGACTATTGAAGCGAGAGAGGTTGTATGGTTAGCCTCCTGCGCTTTATTCCTGATATTCAATTCGCTATCGTGGCGGAGAAATATCGGACAGCACATGATGCAAGATATCCATACAATGAGCAATTGCAGCAAAGATATGGCTCACATGTTCAACACCATCCGGAATACAGTTCCGTGCGTACTCCAAAGCATGCGTTCTTTGGATTAAATTTGCATCTAATTCTTGTCAGGACAGTCAGGTGCATTCGATGCCATGCAACCCGGCTCATTGAATGCCTATACTACGATATACCTTCCCGCATCCATATATTTCATCTATCACTACAGTGAAAAATTAAGGCAGCGAATCAGTTTGCGTTGCCTGCTTTTCAAATTCCCGGTACATTTACCCGGATAATTGTCGGTTGCTTTGCTCAAAATCGTCACAGGAGCCTCCATGATAGATCCATGGTAGCAGTATACTCTGGTGGTTTAAGAGGCTTCACTATTCACCGAATGCGTGTCTCACCACCCTCTACAAGTTGGTTCCCGATTTCATGACCTCTGCAAAAGTTTCAAATAAGTTACCAAAGGATTTCATATGGGGCTTTGCTACTGGTAAGTTTCACTACGTTTAACGCTGATCATCATGTGTTAATGTGTTTTACAGCGAGTTTCCAGATCGAAGGATCCACCAATGTTGATGGACGCGGAAAGTCTATCTGGGACGACTTCTCGAAGCAACCTGAAAAGACAAAAGACGGCCGAGACGGAGATGTGGCCACCGATTCATATAGGCTCTGGAAGGAGGACATTGCCTTGCTTGCTCAGTATGGCGTCAAGTATTACCGCTTTTCCTTATCCTGGTCTCGCATCATCCCGCTTGGTGGTCGTAACGACCCCGTCAATCCCAAGGGCGTGGCGTTCTACTCCAATTTCATTGATGCACTGCTGGAACATGGAATAATCCCATTTGTCGTATGTGGAACATGTTCGGCTACTTCGGCGCGTTTTCACTACGGTTTTTCAGACTTTATATCACTGGGACCTTCCCCAGGCCCTGCACGACAGATATGGCGGGTGGTTGAATAAGGACGAGATTGTGCAGGACTATGTCCGCTATGCTCAGGTGGGTTGTCACGTAATTTTTACGCGTATGTTTGAAATGAGTAAAACACGGCTGCTAGGTCTGCTTCCGGGCTTTCGGAGACAGAGTCAAGCACTGGTGCGTGCTCACAGTGATGGGAATATTGGGTCATATCATCAACCATACATCTTTAGGCTGACAGTGAACGAGCCATGGTGCGTTTCAATTCTAGGGTATGGAAGGGGCGTTTTTGCGCCAGGACGATCAAGTGACCGAGAAAGGTCACCCGAAGGCGACTCCTCTACCGAACCGTGGCTGTACGTCTACCACTTGCATCTGCCTGTACGCAATCAGCTTGCTGATTCCACGCTACCTCACAGAGTTGGCCACAACGTCATTTTATCGCATGCACATGCAGTCAGGCTTTATCGCGAGGAGTTCAAGGCCGCGCAGGGTGGCCAGATCGGAATCACGCTCAATGGTGACTGGGCCATGCCATACGATAACAGTCCACAGAGTAGGCGCCATCTTTGGTTTGCTGATGATGAGAGGATATTGATAATACGCGTCCGTGTTTTCAGATGTGGAAGCGGCCCAGCACGCCCTTGACGTAGCTATCGGTAATTTCGGCCCCTGCCTGTAGCATCCAATCGGCACTGACAAACAGTTGATACTATTGACAGGATGGTTCGCTGTAAGCTTCAAGTCGTATGTTCTGTCGAGTCGTTAGTCAACCAAATGTTTATTCGCCAGGACCCAATCTATCTCGGTCATTACCCGGATTACATGAAACAGATGCTCCAAGAACGACTGCCAGAGTTTACACCGGAAGAATTGAAGGTCGTCAAAGGATCCTCTGATTTCTATGGCATGAACACCTACACCACCAACTTGTGCAGTACGTTTCGTTTTATCTGCTTTGAGTCTGTGTGCCTGAACTGTCGTTACAGGAGACGGTGGCGATGACGAATTCCAAGGGTTGGTCGAGTATACTTTCATCCGTCCCGACGGCACTCAATTGGGTACCCAAGGTGGGCGTCTCCTGCCTTCTAAATTTAGAACCGGCAACTCATAGATATTGTAGCGCATTGTGCCTGGTTGCAGGACTGTAAGTAATATTAATATGAGACGTAGGTGGAATATTTTACTGACACGGCTATTGCGCCCCAGATCCCCAAGGATTTCGCGATGTGAGCGTAACTGGGGTTAGTGTGGAGAAAAATGACTGATGCTATTGGTTCTTTCGTGTCAAAATAGTTGCTTAATTACATTTGGAAGGTTTGCCCACCAGCTTATGGTGTGCATGCGTTCTAGCTACTGACGGACATTTAACAGAGATATAAGCTACCTATCTAGTGAGTTATTTTGAGGATGCAATTGGTGCGATGCGCTGACCTTGACTTCAGCGTCACCGAAAATGGATTCGCTGTCAAGGATGAGCATTCGAAGCCGATTGAGGAGGCGTTGCAAGACAGTGACCGTGTGAACTACTTCAAGGGTACCACTGCTTCTCTCAAGGCCGCTGTGCTTGAGGATGGTGTCGATGTCAGAGCCTATTTCCCGTGGAGTATGTATTATTATCATTTGCGATCAAATTTTCTGATCATCGTTTTAGGCTTTTTGGATAACTTTGAGTGGTGAGTCAGAAAGATTGATGGAATTCCCGTTCACTGATGTCTCCCCAGGGCGGACGGGTACATCACACGATTTGGCGTAACATACGTCGACTATGAGACCCAACAGCGGTATCCTAAAGAGTCTGCGAAATTCCTTGTTAAGGTTAGTTTGCCATAAAGAACAAAGGTCCAAGGATGCTTACGCACCTCTGCAGTGGTTTGGAGATAACATCGATGCAGGTGACAGGAAACTACAATAAAAACTATGTTGCTCTCAATCGCCCGAGCATTGTTGGTGTGTAATCGATTATCGATGTAGAACCGATTGTACCTATAAGTTAGTGAGATGTCCCAGGAGGATTTAACTCGCTGCTCTTGTTTCGTGTGTCTATTTGCCTGTTGTTTAGTATTTCACATACTAGTAGTACGACTGCCATTCGATGAATCTTTGTACTCTGTGTCCAGGCAGCAGGTTGCATGGTCGTTCCTCGTGTTTAAGCGAGGGAAGGTGTTTGGGGTCCGCCGCCGCATGTTGTAGGTCCTTGTGAGCAGGCGATACGTTGCAATATCGTTGCGCGCTTCCAAAATCGTGTGATTAGGCTCAGAAACCTAGAAATCCCATCTACGAGTCGACGACTAGAGTATTATTCCTTGACTTTCATTCGATCTTTCCTTGGTTCATATACCTTGGATTTATATTCCCTACACGCCATGACAAACTATAGTGTTGCTGGCCATCCATATGCTAGCCCACCAGTGGATCCTGTTGGTCACCATGAGCCAGAATCGACTTCTCATACACCAGAGGCTGACGACGCTGCAAAGAAAAGAAAGACCACGAAACGGAGAAAGGTTAACCACGCGTGCCTCTATTGTCGACGTAGTCATATGACTTGCGATGAAGGCAGACCCTGCCAACGCTGGTGAGCTTCCATGAACATACATGATACGTACATTGTAGCATGTGCTGACGTCTGTAGCATTAAGCGTGAGATTGGCCATCTTTGCCATGACGAGCAGCGACAGCCGAAGACTGGTGGGAAGCAGAGTTCTGATGCTGTTCCAGCTGCTTCGTCAAACGGTGTTGATCCTGCAAGGTCGATGACTCGTGCGTATACTACCATTGTATATTCCCATGCTGAAAGCGTTCTATGCAGAGCCCATCTATGGTTCAACAATGCCTCCTCCAGCGACCGCCGCATGGTCAATGAGTGTTCCTTCAGGCGCATTTCTGTATCAGCCCGAAACTCTAGGCAACGAATTTTCAGTCCTTACGTATGTCATTTTTATGGCTACTCCGCTATTCGCGTCACTTACTTGTTCCAGTGACTTCTTGGAAACCCTAGACGAGGGATCCTTCTTCACCACATCTCCAGCAGTAACCCCCTCTCTCATGCCAACTCCTGCATTCCCTCAGGCCACTCCATACATCTCAAATTCTACCTCTGCTGCTGAAGCGACATCCAATCCTCCAGCACATCCTCCTGAGGCACCCGCTGAAGAGCCTGGACCCCCTCTTCTACCGTCTGCCACCAAGACAGAAAAGTTTTTGTTGACTGCCGCAGATCAGGAGTCAGGTACTCGCGACGAACGACTGAACCGTGTTATTCGGAGCAAATACGAGGCAGGTCTGCTCAAACCGTATGATTATGTCAAGGGCTATGCACGATTGTCAAGGTGGATGGATCGCAAGTACGTCAACATCTTCGTGTTGAGACAATGATTTGACACCTGTTCATTTTAAGTGTCTCTCGACAATCGAAGCAGCAAATTCTGCAACCGTTGTCTGTGCTACGACCCAAGTTCCGAGTGAGCGAAGAGCTTTTATAATATTTGCTTGAGTTGCTAATCATAATTAGGCCGTTGCGCAATCCCTGCGCGATATCGTAAGTTTGATGTCCCTGTTGATGCATTTTTGCGATTGACCTCGTTGCAAGGACCTCGTCTTCATAGAAGAGGCCTTTGAGCGATTACTTCTTGATTACGACCGTGTCTTCTCAGCCATGGGTGTCCCAGCGTGTCTCTGGCGTCGAACAGGTGAGATCTATAAAGGAAACCGCGAGTTTTCAGAACTCGTAGGTGTCGATGGATACATGATGCGAGATGTAAGCTGCCTCGATGTGACTATCAATGCCTGCAAGAGCTTACGTCTTCTATGTAGGGCCGCCTCTGTATCTACGAACTTATGGCAGAAGAGTCAGCAGTCAATTATTGGGAGGTGAGCCTCGTCTATTGTAACACGCTTCAACTTTTGACCATGTATGTTAGAAATACGGCCATGTTGCCTTTGACTCTTCTCAAAAGGCCGTACTCACTTCTTGCGTGCTACGTTATAAACCCCTTATCAATACGCAGTCACAAACGCCGAAAAAGGAGGATGTCCCCAATGAGGAGGGCTTCGTAAACTGCTGCTTCTCATTCACAATCAGGCGGGATAAGTGGGGTATACCAAGTATGATCGTTGGAAATTTCATCAAGTGCTGACGGGAATGCTGGTGGTTGGAGGTTATTGTGTAGAGAAGTAATGAGATTATCTTGTAAGTTATGATAAATCACGAGTTTCAGTTAGAAAGGATTCCTATTGCGCTGACCACAAGTCATAAACTTCTTCCACCTTCCAAACTTCGGAGCTTCTCTCCTATAGACGTGCTTTGAAGTGTGCTGCAGGAAATGATCAGACGATGCCAAGGGTAAATTTCGTCCGCCCGTCCTGCTCTTTGGCTCCCCACCACGGTGGTTTGATCTGTTGCTCGCCTCTTCGTCCTGGCTTCGACAAAGCTGATGAGCAGTTGGAAAATGACACGTATGATCCAAGGTTGTTTGTCATTTTTAACTGTCATACTCAGGTCCAGCTTCTTCCACGACTGGGGTCAGTTAATGTCATGACCAGGATGAGGTTCATACAGCGACCAAGGGGCATGGTTTGATCATGAAGGAAATAGTAAGTATCTCTTTCACACCTGCAACAAATTGCAGTGACACTAACGAGGAGATCGCAAGGTATAATTGAAGGTGATCTACATTGCGTGCAGATATTGGGGCCCTCCATATTAGATCCATTCCTGTCTGCGTTTCTGAACTCAAGCACTTAGCAATACCTACTGTGGGTTTGATGCAAAAAAATCGTATTCTGAATCGCAGTGATCCGTCGGTGCATCAAAGCATTTCTTCAGAGCATGCCTAAGAGAATGATGTTTGCAATGTTAACCCGTGTGCAACGTGTGCGGGACAACAAGTTTTGACAAGATGAAAGACCAAATAAAACAGCGGTGCCAGGCTCAGGCTGGTTCGTCTACCAAACAACCCACCCTAACAGACCTCGAACTCTGTCACCCGCTCTACTCCAACTCACGGAACCTTGGTATTTCAGCGTCAAACCTAAGTGCAGGTGTGAATACAATTGAAATAGGTCGCATGTCGATAGACGCACCAAGTCCAGTCATGTCTTGTTACTAGTTCGTGATAAAGTTTACCCTGGGAGAACGCCCACTCACGAATTGCCAAAGAAAGCGAATTACTGGGAACTAAATAATTGTAACGGAAGATAGTGGTCGCGATGAGTTTGGTATCCATGTTTGGTACACTGAGACTGGCGAGAGTGGATGGCTCGGTCAACATTGTCCAACCGTTTTGAGTTGAGGGGTCCCATGAAAATTGTTCTGAGGACAGGGACAACGTTGTACGGGGCGTGATTCCTGATGTATCCAACCGAACGGTCCAACAGTGACGATCACCGACCCATCGTGCCACGTTCGGGAGGAATGGAGATTCATAGGGCTGCGCGAGATCCCCCGGCCTGAACACTGAATAGGCTCTCCAACCTCTCTTGATATACTTTGCGAGGACATCTGGGCGGTGCCTTGATCCAGGGATTTTGAGTGCGCTTCGGTCCTCGAATGTTGCAATTGGGTAGAATGAATACGCCGCATCGAAGGTAATGATATTCATAACGCAAGCTGAAACCAAGAGCATCAAAACTCGTGTGAAAGAAAGGGAATGGTTTGGACGCACTTGAGTGATATTTCATGATAGTATCAATGGGGTTGTAGGTTGTCTGGATAACTTGGACCCGGAGCTCCACGTGCTCTCCGTCTATAACTACGAACCGTTTGAAGGTGTAGACTTCAGCGATGTTAGAATACCGCGCCAAGCGTACTTCTTCTTCCTCTTCCTGCGGTGGGTCCAGGACTCGGATTCTCGGGATTGTGCCATCCCAATCAGGTGAAACCTGGTTATGCCAGTCCTCTACTTGATACCTGTGTGGTTCAAACTGATACCCAAAGCTCTCGATCCACTCTAGCACCTCGTAAATGTGACCAGGGTGAGAGTAAATGTCGAGATCTGACTCGGGGTAGAAGGTACGGTCCAAAAATTGAAGTGCATTTGATCCTGAAATGATGAGTCCAGTTCGCGCTTGGAGAGAGCGAAATGAGAGGGGGTCCGGAAAATAACGAGATAGATGTCGATTGATGTTGTATGCGCGCTGTAAAAAATGAGTTACTGCTTCGTGTATTATGTGACATGTGCGCGACAGCCGCACTAAGTTGCGAGGACTCAGATCGCGGAATATGAGGTCGTAGATAGGGGCACTGGAAAAGACGCGTATCACATGGCCAGCCCTAGGCGGCCGTTGGCGTACAGCGAGCGACCTCCACATCAACGACGATTGGACGACCAGCAAATTGCACGAAGTACTATTACTGTTTGCAAAAATATTGGCTCCGACGGTATTTCCAAAAAAAGTGCGCACCACACCAAAAAATACAGCAATAACTTTTCATTTGTTTCTCGACAATAACAAGAGATATCGTTAAGCCGTAAGAGACAAAGTTGGTCAGGGAACCAAGGCCAAGGTGCGTGCAGCAAAAACGGGATGATTTGACGAAGTCTAAACCAAGTTATCAGATGACCCCCTCCCAACCGTCTTGCGAATTGTAACATAGTTGTAAAATTGAGTTTGAGCAATTATTCTCAGTTCCTCCGTTGGGTGAGTGCAGCTGTGTCACGGATTTAAATTGGCAGACTTATTCCATCGTGTACAGCTCTCGATCTGATGGAGATAGGATAAGTAGCAGGCATCAGTGGCACTACGACTTATGCGTGCAACTTTGAGGTGCATCCATACGAGCAATAGATTTAGCATAGGAATGGGTTTCAAACTCCGCCAGATGTTTTCTTCTTACTGGGGAACAACCCCAAATCTTTCGTTCACATTGTGATGAACTGAAGCATAACTATATCGAGCTCGCCTCTCATCACATTGCGGCTACAGCAAAACAATGTTGTTGAAGATCATCGTTGAAAGTCTACTGTATGGAATCTAAGCGCACGAACCTTGAGGCTGACAAGGCATGCTCTGTATTCTGCGGGTTTCAAGAACCTGGCTGACGCACGCTGGCCGGAAACTCCTGAAGAACGCTGACATGCTAAGACCAGTACGCAGACCACTGAGTTGCACGCGGAGTCTGCGCCAAGTCTGCACAGTCCTCACACAGACAGCCCAAATCCCAGACTTTCTGCTTTGCCGGCTGCTCGCTGTTGTCAATGACGTTGAAACCTCAAAGGCTCTTAGTATTCAGAGCCTACTAATCAGTACTATCGTGATACTACTATTCATAGAGGTGGTAGGTCGCTTTGTTGCTATTCACCATCTTAATACCTTCGCTGAAATATTTTGAACTAGGAAAGATCGTGCCAAGCTGCATGCTATGCATATGTATATTTAAAGCGTATCAGTGTGAATATTTGTGAGTATATCTCTCAAGCGCACAGCTGCCGGTGTCATGCGATGATAGGCATTCTAACTCTTAAAGACGAAAGCAGTATGCTGTGGCTCCCAACTTCACATGAGCCTCTTGCCCTACGCTGTCCTGTTATACATTCCATTTGTTTATGCTTCACTACCAAGTCTCAATGGTACTAGTACCCCTACACTCAATGTCAGTGACTCTCCACCCAGCTGTGATACCAGAAGCTTGTGGAACATCATCTGGAGCTGCGCTGCTACTCTATTCGCATGCACATGGACCGCAGTTCACCCAAACATCCCAGGTATAGACGAGGGGAAAGTGACTGTTTTCTGTCGTCGCCTATGCATCATGATCATGGCGCTGATTGCCCCAGAACTCATAATCACCTGGGCTACGAGTCAGTTTCTAAGTGCTCGTGACACTGCAAAGGCCTTCAATGATACCTTTGGTGCGCAACCTCACCAGGCCCGCAGCGACAATCCAGATATAGGAGAAAGTGCGGCAGCTACTTTGCTTAGTGAAATTCCATCATCAGATGGAGGGAACAGTCCTCACCAGGCCCGCAGCGACAATCCAGACATAGGAGAGAGTGCGGCAGCTACTTTGCGTAGTGAAACTCCATCATCAAATGGAAGGAACAGTCCACATCCGAGCGCTCCGCATGTTGCAGGTCGCGATTTTGAAGGTCAGTCACCTGCTTGGCCTTTCGGTACGTCGTCCAACTGATGTCTCACAGATTGGACTGTGACGCAGGGGTTTTTTACGTGGATGGGTGGATTCATACTCTACTTCGATGACAAGTCGCGAGCCACTCTTCGACCCGACGAACTTTTGCGTTTTGTTAGTGAGGGATCCGTGGACGTACCTGTCATCACAGAGGCAGACATAGAAGATCGAAGCAAGGGTGACGCGTTATCCAAGGGCATTGCCATTCTTCAGCTGGCATGGTTCGTCCTCCAGCTTGTCGCCCGTTACACTCAGAACCTTCCGATAACACTGCTTGAAATCGACACTCTGGCTGTAGCTGCCCTGACCTGCATTACCTATGGCTTTTGGTGGAAGAAGCCCAAGGATGTGGGACGTCCTCATGCTATTTATTGGAAAGCAACTGCATCTCAGCCAGGAAGATTAGCCTACGAGTATGTCATCAACATTGCTGCCCGAAATTGTTCTTATTCGCCTGCATTCTAGCAAAATAAATCCAATGTTCTCCCGTGAAGACTATTCCCATTACTTTATCTCTTGTGTCTATCCGATTTTGACTCTTATGGGCGCTGCCACATTCAATTCCCCCCGTGCTGTCCGTTCACGTCGGGTTCCGTCTGTAGGTGGCTATGATGAGGATGGTGCTGGTCGTCATCAAACCATTATGCTTGCCATCGGATGTTGCAGTGGGGCGGTGTTTGGAGCGATACATTGTCTAGGCTGGAATGGTGTGTTTCAGGGGCGTACAGAGCAGTTACTCTGGCGTGTGGCTTCCCTTGAGATAGTATTAACACCGGTAGCTATTCTGATGTTGAGCTATTTTATTTGGGGGGGTGATTCGGACGGCGAAGTTGTCGCGCCTGTGGGTTTAGTCGTCGGCGCTCTCATATATATTGTTGCACG